TCCTGGGGTGATTTGCTGCTCTTATTGGCTGACGGGGGATGATAGGCAGATGCCTCCACCTATGGGGCGTCGAGTAGCTGATGGCAGCTCTGGGGTGGGGGGTCCGGGGCAGAGTCTCCCCCATTACCTCAGGGAGGGCGCCCGAGTTGGGGGTCCCCAGGGACTGGGGTGTCCGTGGTCCCCAGTTACCCAAGGATGGAGGAATTGGGGAGATGGGGACGTGTCCCCCATTGTTCAAGGACCAGGATGTGGGGGCCATTGGAGTCCCTAAGGTCCCACCACGCCATAAGGATCCAGGGATGGGGACACTGGGGACTCCTGAAATCCCCTGGGATGGGGACAATGGGGACACCAGCTCCCCAAAATATGGGGGTGACGGGGATCTCACATTCCCCACAGAATCAGATCTTGGGGCACTGGGGATCCCCAATGTCCCCACTGGAGACACTGGAGTCCCCAGTTCCCTAGGGCCAGGGCTGTGGGACACTGGGGTTGCCCCCAAGGCCTTGAGGTACCATTGAGGATCTTTTTCGCAGTGCTGATAACATTTTTTTAGGGTTTTTTTTTGGAATTTAAAGAGATTTTTAACTGCGTCGGAGAGGTGAACCACTACGTGAAGCCGAGGGCCGAATTCACACACAGAATCCCAGCACGTCAGGGATTGGAAGGGACCTCCAAAGCTCATCCAGCCCAATCCCCCTGCCGGAGCAGGAACACCCAGATGAGGTTACACAGGAAGGCGTCCAGGCGGGTTTTGAATGTCTGCAGAGAAGGAGACTCCACAGCCTCTCTGGGCAGCCTGGTCCAGGGCTCTGTCACCCTCACTGAGACGCAGTTTCTTCTCCAATTTCAGTGGACCCTCCTGTGTTCCAGTTTGTGTCCATTACCCCTTGTCCTATCATTGTTTGTCACCGAGAAGAGCCTGGCTCCATCCTCGTGACACTCACCCTTTAAATATTTCTAAACATGAATGAGGTCTCCTCTCAGTCTCCTCTTCTGCAAACTAAAGAGCCCCAGCTCCCTCAGCCGCTCCTCAGAAGGGAGATGCTCCACTCCCTCCATCATCTTTGTAGCCCTACACTGGACTCTCTCCAGCAGTTCCTGTCCTTCTTGAACTGAGGGCCCAGAACTGGACACAATATTCCAGATGCGGTCTCGCCAGGGCTGAGTAGAGGGGCAGGAGAACCTCTCTGCCCTACAACCACCCCTCCTGATACACCCCAGGATGCCATTGGCCTTCTTGGCCACAAGGGCACAGTGCTGGCTCATGGTCATCCGGCTGGCCACCAGGGCCGCCAGGGCCCTTTCCCCTACGCTGCTCTCTAATCGGTCATTCCCAACCCAGCTCACGTTCCCTATTAGTGGGAATTCACAACCTTTCAACCCAAAACCAACTCCGCTGCTTCACGGACCGAGAACGTGAGCGGCCGACCCTGGGGGAGAAGTTTGGCCTCGACTTCCCCTAAATTTGGGATCGAAAAAGGGGAAATCAGGCAAAAGGAGGAAGCTGCGAGCAAGAGAACCGGAGCGAAGGACGTCCAGTTTTTTGACTGTGTTTGCTTTTCCTGACGTGCCTCTGAAATTTTAACTTTCGTTTCTGCCCGGCTCAGAACCTTGAGGGCGTTCAGGCGAGGAAAATCATTTTCCAGAGAAGGAATAAAAGGAACTGAACCCTTCCCCCCCCCAAACACGAGGATTTTCGCAACGCTGAGTTTCTAGCATTAAAAACCGCCAGAAATTATCCCAAAAAATGCTGAAAGAAAATGCTAAGGAACTCCCCAAAAATTTAGGGCGTTTGCCTCGGAGAAAGTCGCCCGCCGTTTTGGCGTAAAGCCTCCAAAAATCATCGCCTTGGGCCGGTATCGGCTTCGTTTGAGGAAAGCAGAGCGTGGGTTTTAACCAATTCCTCTAAAACTCAACGGGGAAGAGGCCGCGGCCGCTCCAAAGCTCCTGAGTGCGCAGATTTTATTTTGGTTTTCTTCTAGGAAATCCCAATTAGGAAACGTGGGTGTTTCCTTCCTCCTCGGGAAGGTGACGCAGCTTCCCCACCCTATAAATCGGGGCGAGATGGGAAGAAAAAGGAGCCGAGATGTCACAGGGCGAGGACACCGCCGGCGACTACGAGAAATGGGATTTCAACGAGGAGGTGGAGTTGGAGAAGCGAAAGAGGAGGAAAATGCCTAAAGGAGGTATCGGAGAATGGATTTGGGGATCTGGAGACATCAAATCGGAGGGTTTCAGCTCTTTAAACCCATCTTTCTTGGAAGTTATAGCCACATTTTGATGCCTGCTTCCTCCTTTGGGTCATGATCGAGGAAAATGAGGGTTTTGAGTGTGGAGAACGGGGTGGTGGAGTCATCCGAGAGGTTGTTTTTTGGGGGGATTACTCCTCTTTGTGCTCTTCTTTTAGAAAATCTGTCTTTGGGGGGGGGTTATTTGGGGTCTCCTCACCCTGTTTTGCCCCTGGCAGCGCTGTCCTTCCTCACTTCATCTCCGGAGAGAGCCGTAGCGCTGCTCTACGTGCTCCTGGCCTTCACCTTCTTGCTCTTCACCATCCTCACCATCGTGAATCTCCGGAGAGGTGAGTCCGCCGCGAACGGGCACGGTTTTGGGGGAAGACCCCAACATTTGGAGCGAACCACGAGGAGGACGCTCGTCTTCTCCCCCAGTATCTGCGGCGTGGGAGGCGCTGGAGCAGGCCCGGCAGCGGAGCGAGAGCAGCCACACCACGGCATGGCACAACCTCTCCGATGTCCAGAGCGCCCTGGGTACGACACCTCACCCCAAAATCGCTTCTTAACACCCACTTAATCCTCAATACCTGCACGGATTTCTCCCTCCAGAGCATCCTGGGGTGTTTTTTTCCACCAGAACAGAGGCAATTTGGGTTTATTTTGAGTTTATTCTTATTTGCCTCTTAGATAAGCAGCTCTCGGGCCAGCTCAAGGCGATTCGCAGCCGGCTTCAAAACGGTACGCCAAGGAAAAGGCAAATTTTGGGGGAAATATGGGCAGAATCCCAAATAATGGGGATAGCAAATACCAAAAGCAGAGATTTTTTTTGGTTTTTCCCTCTTTCCAGTGTCCCAGGAAGTGGAGAACGTGCGGTGGAAGGTGACGCAGTGCAACGCAGAGGAGCTGTCGGGTCGCCTCCGCGTCCTGGGTGAGCAACCTTGATTTTGGTGGGAAATCATGAAATCCAGTCGTTCTCCTCCGTTCCCAGAACACCCAGTATTGGGCAGATACCCCAAAGATCCCTAAAATACGCAGCAGGAGCGCGTGAAGCCAAAATAAACGAGTTTGAGATATCCTTAAGTATGATATTAATGAAAAACAAAGCTTCACAGAATCAGAGAATCCCAGAATCCCAGACCGTTAGGGATTGGAAGGGACCTCAAAAGCTCATCCAGTCCAATCCCCCTGCCGGAGCAGGAACACCCAGATGAGGTTACACAGGAAGGCATCCAGGCGGGTTTTGAATGTCTGCAGAGAAGGAGACTCCACAACCTCTCTGGGCAGCCTGGGCCAGGGCTCTGTCACCCTCATTGAGAAGAAGTTTCTTCCCAAATTGAAGTGGAACCTCCTGTGTTCCAGCTTTTCTCAGCCTTAGCCGAGGGGTTTGAGGTTTTACTGCCCGAGTTAAGAGAATGGCGACCCACGCCAGGAAAACCACGGCGTAAATTAGGACTAAGGGAGATAAAAATCCGGGCTTCTTGTAGGTCTTGGCGGTTAATAAAATACCATTTCTTCTCTCCGCGGGCAGAGCAAAGGGACGCACTGGAGCCGGTGCTGCGGCAGCTGGCGGAGGTGAAGGAGGAGCAGAGCCGCGCGTCGGCGCTCCTGGACGCGGCGCTGGAGGAGACGCGCAACCTCTCCGGTGAGGACCGAACTTCCCCCCAGAGCTCGCCCACGCCTTCTCCTTTTCTTAATTTTGATGGGTTTTGTTTTTTTTCTTCCCCCCTTCCTCGATTTCCCTCAGAAATTCTCTGCACGAGGTGCCCCGCCGGCTGGCAGCAGTTCGCCAAAAACTGCTACTTCTTCTCCACCGACACCAAGCCCTGGCGGGCCGCTATGGATTCCTGCACCGAGTTCAACGCTCATCTGGTCATCGTCGACAGCGAGCAGGAAAATGTAAGCTCAGAAACCCCATAAAAAGCAAAGAAACCCCATAAAAACCTAAAAAACCCCCCAAATTTCACCAGTTTAGAGGAATTTTACCCTCCAATTCCCCACATGAGGTGACTCGAGGCTGCAGAAGGGGGCAAAATGCGATGGCTTGAAGCTCCCAGCTTGGTTTGGAAGTGATTTGGCCAAATTGCATGAATCTCTCCCCAAAATGCCTGCTGGGATTTCAGCAGTTTTTAAGGGAAAAGCCCAAGGGAGCGGCTGCTCCCCCTCCTCGGGGTCTGCGTGACCCCAAGGGACCCCCCTCCCCGCGATGTGAGAGGTGGTTTTGCACCACGGCTCCTCGCCGTCGCGTAAGAAACACAGATATGGTTTAGAAATTATGCAAGCCGTTTAAATAACTATTAAAATTCTTGAAGAATTCTTGAAATTGTTGAAAAAACTTCCAGAATTACAGGCGGAACTACAGAAACAGAGCCCAAATTGTGCCCAAATTGGCCTTTCTACCCCAATTTAGACATTTCTATCTCCCATTCAGGACACTGCTTTCACCAACCTGGCTTTTAAAGCTCCTCCCTCCAGATATTACAAATTCCACCACATTTTTTCCCCCCGTTTCCAAGGCATTTTTGCCGTTTTTTGGGGCATGTTCCCTCCTTGATGCTTCTTTTACACCTACAATGCTTCATTGCACCTCCAACTACCTCAAGGGAGGTTGTAGAGAGGTGGGTGCTGGTCTCTTCTCCCAGGTGATGGGGGATAGAACAAGGGGAAACGGCACCAAGCTGTGCCAAGGGAGGTGCCGGTTAGAGAGAAGGAGGAAGTTCTTTACTGAGAGGGTCGTCAGAAGCTGGCACAGGCTGCCCAGGGAGGTGGTGGAGTCACCATCCCTGGATGTGTTTAAAGAGCGGGCAGACGAGGTACTTAGGGATATGGTTTAGGGGGTAGACAGGAGCGGTTGGACGTGATGATCTCAGAGGTCTTTTCCAACCGAGTGATTCTGTGATTGATTCTGTGATTCTGTTTATTAAGATTTTATCCCGATTAACCTGCAAGCGATACATCCAGCCCCAGCGCAACAGAGAAAACGGCTCCCAAAACCATTAACAAACACCAAAATGCCTCCATTGCGCCCCAAGGAGCGACGTCTTCCAACGGTTCAACCCCCTCCGCCCGCTTTTGGGGAGGGGCTACGCAATTTTGGGCACCTTTTTCCCCCCGGAGCCTCACGTTTTCGCCCCGCACTTGGTTTTTTGGTCGGGGTTTTTGCTGGTTTAGCCCCGTTTTGGAGGCGCGGCGAGGTCAGCAGCCGCGCTCGCAGATCCAGGGCTCGGTGTTGGAGCAGGTGGCGTTGTTCCAGCAGCCGTTGGGGAGGATGGGGGCAGTGGTTCCAGCAGCCGTTGGGGAGGATGGTGGCACAGTCCTCACCTTGGTGGCCCACGTTGTTGGGTTCCCCGTTGTTCCAGAACCTAAAATAAAGGGGCAGGGGGCACTGATTTGGGTGAAAAACTCTGCATTTTTGGAAATCATTGAGGTTTTGGGGTGGGTTTTTTTAGTACGAGGGAGTCGCATCAACCCCGCAGCACCTCCCCTTCCGATCTACAGCCCCCCCAAAAACCCTTTTTCCCACCCATTGAACCCAGAAAAGTCATTTCAGTGATTTTCCCATTTTCCCCCCATTTAATGTGGGAAAACGGCTCCGCTGTAATCGCTTTTCCAACCGAGTGATTCTGTGATTTTTTCTCCTCTAATTTTGCAGAAATTCCTGGCAAATCGCATCATGGAGAACCGGGTGTTTTGGCTGGGCCTCAGCGACGCGCACAAAGAAGACGACTGGCAGTGGGTGGACGGCCGCTCCCTCTCCCTCCCGTACGTTTTTAGCCTTATAAGAGGGTAAATTGCCCCCCAAAAAATCACCTCTGAACTCGCTCATCCCTTTTTTTGGCTCCAAAAATGGTGCCGCACCCTCATTATCGCGCCCATCCGCTCTAGTTTAGCGCTTAAAAAGCACCAAAAATGGGTGACGTGCTCCTGTTTACCTGAAAATACCACGTGGAGGGAAAGGTGAGAGGAGCCACCCAGCTACAGACAAGAATTTGGCATTTTTCCCCCCAAATTTGTGGTGGTTTTGGGGCAGAAAACCCATTTGGGAGCACGCAAGGAGCTGTAGCACCCACTTGGTTCCCCCTGAACCTGAGTCAGAGGGGTTGGTTATGACAGATCTCCTCATTTTGGTGATTTTGGGGAAAAACTCCGTGATTACAGCGGAGCCGTTTTCCCACATTAAATGGGGGGAAAATGGGAAAAATCACTGAAATGACTTTTCTGGGTTCAATGGGTGGGAAAAAGGGTTTTTGGGGGGGCTGTTGCCCTCTTTGGGAGGTGCTGCGGGGTTGATGCGACTCCCTCGTACTAAAAAAACCCACCCCAAAACCTCAATGATTTCCAAAAATGCAGAGTTTTTCATCCAAATCAGTGCCCCTGCCCCTTTATTTTAGGTTCTGGAACAACGGGGAACCCAACAACGTGGGCCACCAAGGCGAGGACTGCGCCACCATCCTCCCCAATGGCCGGTGGAACGATGCCACCTGCTCCAACACCGAGCCCTGGATCTGCGAGCGCGGCTGCTGCCCTCGCCGCGCCTCCAAAACGGGGCTAAACCAGCAAAAACCCTGACCAAAAAACCAAGCACAGGGCGAAAACGTGAGGCTCCGGGGGGGAAAAAGGTGCCCAAAAATGCGTAGC